CACAAGGCCATGGGCAGAATGAACCCGGGGGGATGCAGCGGGAACAGGGCAAGGCAGCCAACCTTGCTGGGTAGTGGACACCCCATCAGACAGGGCTTCCAGGTCAGAGCACCATAGTCAAAATGTCCAGATGTGGCCTCTTTTTTGGAGACAGGGGCCATGGCAGGGGTGGGATTTTGGTGGTGAAACCTTCTACCCCTGAAGCTAAATCCAAGGCAGTGTTGCTGGAGCCCGCACACACCTTTGCAGGCCATGGTAGCCACTGGCTGTGAGGCCACCAGTGCCAGAACAAGGATCTCTTTGTGATCAAGCTGTGGCCTGAGACCAACACCAGTCCCTCCAGAAATGCCTACGTGTAACCAGCTTTCTGCTTGGTTTTGCAGCAGGTATTGGGACCGAATCTGGCACAGGAAATTTCTGGTTTGCAGCAAGTTCTGCTCAAAACCAAACTCAAATCCTACCCGCTGCCATCACCACCAAATCTCCCTGATGCTTCTTGAAGAGGAAGCCTCACTTCATGGCCCACTGCCATTGCTGCACCCCAGGAACCCCGTTTGCTTTTCCCCCAGTTCATGTTTCTCTCTTTTTACCAAGAGCCGATGGGGGACGAGGCTGTGGAGCTGCAGGAAACGGGGGTGGCTTGGTTAAAGGCAAGCAAAATCACGTGAGACCGCAGCCTGCAAAGGAGAGGCTCTGCGGCAGGTGAACATCTTGCTCTTGGACTGGACAAGCTGCTCGAGACCTCTGCCTGCCTGGCACTAACAAAAAGGAGGCACATCTAACACGGAGATGAGACATCTGGAGCAAGGAGGGATGGGAAAGGGGATCATGATCCCCTACGGGAAATGCAAGAAGAGCAAGAGGCCACCAGGATGTAGAAGCTGCTTCCCTGTGGCCAGTCCACTGTGCTGGCTGAAGGACCAGTGCAGTGGTGCAGGGGACACGGTTGGTCCTGCTCAGCCTCCCAGCGCTGGGGAACCTGCGGAGGTGGCTGTAGGAAAGAAGGAGTGAGGGGGCTGGGAAGGGAGGGCCCAGCCCTGTAATTTCAGTTCTGGATTTTGCAAGGGGAGAGCTTTGGAAAGCCAAAGAGACAAATAAGGAAGAGGCAGAGGTAGGTTGGGGCCAGAGGGATTTGTATGAAGCTCTAAGATCCGAAGTCCTCTCCTCAAAGGGCATGCCAGGAAGCCCAACAGGGAATGCAGGTCTCAGCTTCTAACACCCTCCTTGTCACTGCACAGCCAAGGGCATTTGGCTGTAAGGTCCTTCCCTGTTGCCCTCACATCCTGAGGAAACCAAGCTTGGGAAGGACCTGTTTCCAGGTGGATGTAGCATCTGTGGGCCTTGGGAGAGGTAGCTGGTCTTGGGGATCACATCACTGTTGAGCAGCACCAATGCAGCCTTCCCACTGCTCGACAGCCACCAGGAAGCCAAAGCCCCTCAGCTTACACTGAAGATGCTCTAAACCCAGGGTCATTCCCCCTTTCCCTTTTCCCTGGCCCTGGAAGGTCAGTCCATCCCTGGTGCAAACCCTCCAGGACCCGCATCCCGCTTCCTCCCAGCCCTCCAGTACAGGTAGCGCAGAAGTCCTTACCGGCCGGTGATGTTGGGATGGGATAGCTGCTGCCGCATCCAATTGAACTGCTTTTTCATCATCTTGAGGGCTGGAAGGGAACCACGAGAGCTGCTCCACTCAGCTGTACCCGCTCAGCAGCCTTTGGCAACGCTTGGCATCAGACGCTGGTGGCCCCTCAGCTCCCCAGAGCTGCTCTCCTCTTGCTTTTCCCTGAGGACCTCTCCTTCCTTCGTTCGCCCTGTTTCTGTTGCTCCGGCTTGCCCCCTCCCTCGTCCCTCCCAGGGGATGCCCTGCCTGCTTTCTCTTCCCCTCTCTTGGACTCCCTTCTCTCGCTCCCTCTCTTCTTCTGAGCTTCCTTCCTGCTCCGTCTGCCCCTGCACCACAGAGCAGGTGAGAGCAGCTCAGGGCTCCTGCTCCACTCTGTGTTCCTGTCACCACCCCGCAAGTATAAATAACTTCAGCCCAGCCTTAAAGGGGAAATATTATTACAGCAAACACGTAACAAGGCAGGACAAGCACATGCCGCTGCCAAGCCCGAGCAAGGGCCCACGCTCTGTTTCTTGCTCTCTGTCTCAACTCGGCTGCTGTTTTTCCCGCTCTTGCCTTGCCCACTGTCAGCCTGTGTCCATGCCAGCTGGCTGTGCATTGGACATGGGGGGTCCGATGTACACCCTGGCCTCCCGGGTGCATGGCACATGGGGTGTCCGATGTACACCCTGCCCTACCGGGTCACCCAAACTCTGCCCCATGGGCACCTCTCAATGCTCATGGGTACAGCTCTACCCTGCGATGTACCCCTTGTCATGCCAAATGCAGGAGGACGAGCAGCAAAGCCACTCCTGCAGCCCCTTCTGCACCCCCCACGCCACTTCCCACCACCAAAGCTCTCTAGAGCAACCACAGAGCTGTTACCCTGTGCCCTGGGGAGGCCCCTTCCTCCGTGTTCTCCCACTGCTGGCAGAGCTCCTTGGGGCTGAGCACAGAGCAGCAGCACCCGCATGCAGTCACACAGGAACCACAAACTCCCCGTTCCCAGGCTCGGGTGCTGCCCGCTCTTTGCAGAGCTGCTCCAGGGCTCAGCTGCTCTGTGTTAGTTTAGAAGCATCCCCTTCACACCAGCACCACCTCCTTTGTTCCTGGCTCTGAGAGATATAAACCTCACCTTGTTTCTGGGTACCTGCAGCTGGGACTTTCCTCCATCTGCAGTTTGCTGTCAGCTGGATTTATGGTGGCAAAGGAATGAGCACACACGGGAAGTGGTCAGCTTGTGGGCAGAGACAAGCAGCAAAGGAAGAAGAGGTGGAAGGGCCACTCCACCTGTGCCCCAAAGCCTAAAGGATTACAACTAGGGGGCTGCCTGGCTCTGCTCCATGGTGGGGGGCAAAGTCTTCAGTAAGTGCATAGCAAAGCAGTGCTGGCAGCTGGGATGGGGCAAGGGAGCACCCCTTTCCCTGCCTGAAACATCAGGTTGCTCTAAACCTGTGGCTCAAGCATGCTGATGCCCCAGCCATGAGCCCTGGGGGTGCTCCCAACAGGCAGTGTGGTCACTGAAGGGCTTCAAGGCTAAGAGGGGTTCAAAGCATCTCCTGCAGAGCTGCAGAAAAGCCCCCCCACACACACACCCTTGGTGGCTACATCAGGTGATGGCCAAGCTCTGGTCTCCTTCCTCCCATGCAGAGAGCTGCTCCCAACCCCAGGCTGCTGCTTGTCAGAGCAGATCCCCCTCTTTCCCCCCCTGCAATAAAACTGCCCTGGGCAAGAGGAGGAAGTGGCGGTACAGGCAGTGGTGAAGCTGCAAACAGTCGTGTGGGGCACAGGAGTGAGCTGAACCTGTGCCCCCCATGGGGTGCAGGGCACTGACCCCTGCCCACCACCCCTCCCTAGGGGTGCAGTGACTCTGCTCTCAAACGGGAATTGAGAGCAGCTGGGGGACTTCCACCAAGCCCTCTCCCTAGTCATGAGAGTGGGGAAACCATAGTGGCAAGGCCTCAGGTGACTGGGGGATGACTTAAGGATTGCAGGATGCGAGCTGGAAACAACCCCTCACAGGGTATAAACAGCTCCTCCGGAGTTAAGGAAGGTGAGGGGAAGAGGCAATCCTTTGGTGAAAAGGCAGGGACAGGGTCAGGAAAGAACTATTTATTTCCCATAAATACAGCAGACTGTTCGCGCCGGGCGTTTTGTTTTCAATGTTTGTTTTCTTCCATTTACAGAATTTTGCACCCAAAATATATACATGTCTGTTCAACCAAACAAGATCTGCAAAGAAAAACCCCATACAAAACCCTGAAAAGAGACCAGAAAGGGAAGTAAGACACAGCAGAACCCCAGCATAGAGACCTTGCTTCCCCCTCTCCTCTACCACTTGCTGCACCCAGCTCCAGCACCTCACCTTTGCTGCCCCCCAAGCCAAGTGCGCAAGGCACCCCACTCACCTCCGTCTCGCCCAGGCCTCCTTCTCCCTCTGACAAGCCTATACAGGGCACAGCTTATTCCTACTTCTAAGATCAGGCCCTTTTAAAACCAATTTAGGGATGCGAAGCAGCTCCTGCAGTCACAAGTCCCATGGGGATGTGCCACCCGCCGGTCCCCTCCGTGCCTGCAGATCCCCGCTCTAGTGTCGCAGTGATCAGGCGGCTGTGGCGGGCCCCGTCCCGGCGCAGGGAGCCAGGCAAAGGTGCGCAAGGCACAGCTGAACCCCCCCGGAGCAGAGCTCAGTGATGGCCCCTGGTGATGGGCAGCCCTCCCGCCTCCCCATGACTCCCAGTCCATCACCACCTCCACTGCAAGAAGACACTGGAGAGCTGAGAAAGCCCCCCTGCCCCATCAAGCTCTCCAGCCCAGCCAGGAGGGAGGAAGACTATGTGCTGCCTTCCTCTCTCTGACAGTAGGCTCCATGGAGACTCACACCCTAATCCTCCTCTCTTGGGGCTGGCATGCAGGACAAAGTCTGGCAGCAGACCCCAAGGCTTGCTATAGATAAAGCACAGGGGGAGGGTGTGGGCTTCCTTGCTATGGGGGTTTAGTGCCCAGGTGAAGAGGATGGGAAGGCACAGAGCAAGCTCTGCCCAGCCCCTGGGGTCCCAGCTCCCACTAATAGTTCCGTAATCAGCTGGAAGGACGGAGATATGGGGAGATGACTGCCCCTGACCCCCAAAGCAAGGGCAGCTACCTGCTCTCCTGTGCTGGAGACACCTAGTCTCCATCCAGCCTCATTCCACAGCAGCTCCAGTGGGATCCCATCAGACAGGGAACCACCAAGGCCCAGCTCCAAGGAGGGGGGCAAGGGGGACAAGCACCACAGAGCACAAAGCAGCTGAAGGGCTGGGAAGCGCAGAGGGGACAGACAAGGAAAAGGATCTTCCTTTGCTAGGCCTTGCCCCAGGCTGAGGCTGTTAAAGCTCCCCTTCCTTGTTCCCCACTGCCCCTAGAGGGGGAAAGCAGGATTAGAAGAGAAGCTGGACAGGCTGGGGAGTGTCGCCCTTGAAGAGCAGGGAAGGCAACTGTTCACACACACGAAGGTCTCAACTCCACTCCTCATCTTGTGGGGTGAACATCTCCTGGTATCTCTGCTCTCCTCCTCGGGGCATGCTCCCTCTGGCCCTCGCCCAGCCATCTGGAGAATAGAGCGTGAGCAGCAGCCCCCCTCCCGCCCTCCCCATCGCCTCGGGCTGCTCCAGCCCCTCAGGGCTGGCTTCCCAAGGACTCTGCAGTGTAGTGCCTCCAACGTGCAGCCCTAGAGGTTTCCCCAGGACTCAGGTGGGGGGAACTGGTCCACGTCCCCCATTTCGTTGTAGGTTTGCTCTCCCATGGTGAAGGTCAGCTTGTACCGTAGCCTCACTTTCTCCTAGAGATGGGGGAGAAAGAATAAGCAGTCAGAAGGGGGTATAAGAAAAGCATGAGGCACAAACCCTGCAGGTCTTTTGCAAGCTGAGGAGAGCAAACAGTGACAGGGTAGGCAGGCTTTGCCCAGGAAGCAAGACCAGCCTCTGCTCATGCCCCAGCGACAGTGCTGTTACCTTCTGTGGGTTAGCGAGCAGCAGGACTTGTGTGATGGCACTGGGGTGGACAATGGGGTTGAACGCTGGCAGCTCTGTGCCCGAGGGAGGCTGCAGCTTCACCTTCATCACCTATGGAGAGAGAAGAGCATCCCACATTCCCAAAAGGGACTTGGCAGCCAGAGGTCAAAGAGTAGAGTATAGTCAAAGAGAAGAGTATTGTGCTGGTTCCTGCTAATCTGAAGGCAACACAACTCACTCTCAGCACCACAGAGCTCTCTCCACCCACCCTGCCCTTCCTGCAGAAGCAGGATCGCACTTCGGCCAGGCCTGGGGACCTCAGCCCCAGCAGTTGCCTTACCTTGGGGACAGCAGACTGAAAGACAATGTTGCGGATGGGCTGTGGGGCCGTGCTAAGCATTGAAATCACCACCACAAGCACATCGGGCCTCTCAGGCAGGGCATCCTTAGCAAAGTGGAAGAGGACACGGAATCCGTGCTGATCATACACTGTCACAGGGAGGATGCTGCCTGTGGGAAAGGCAGGGACAGGCAGCAGTCAGCCACGAGGGAAACGGCCCTGCAGCAACCTTTGCCTGTCACCCAAACTCCATACAAGCAACAGAGACACGATTCCTCCTCAACCTCCACAAAATCCAACCGGCAAGAAGTTTCCCCACACTCTTCCCTTCCACGTGCACATGGTTTGTTCCTCCCAAGCTTGCCCCCCCTCTTCCTCCCTGGCTCACTGGGTTTGATTGACTCCAGAGGCACAATGATGTTGGCCAGCGAGATCTCCTGGGGCTGCACGGTGGCAGGAGGCCGTGGTGGGACTGCAGAACTTCCTGCTGGTGCGGCAGCAGCTTTTGGGAGCGTAGCAGGGGCAGGCAGCTCCGAGGTCAGGGGCAGCGTGGGGTTAGGGGAAACACTCTGGAGCACAGGCAGAGTGCTGGGATTGTGGGCTGTGGTGCCAGAGTTGCTCCTGTTCTGGAGATCCCTCAGGGTGAGCCGAGGGGGTGGCTGCTGCTTCTCCCTGTACGGAGAGAGCAAGATGTGGAATAGGGCACTAAAGTGGCATCTCC